TTGCTCCTAATTTTAGCCAAGCATCTGTGGAAGACTTGTTTCATAGGCTGGTGAGATATTAACACTCCATATACATTTGTACCTTACTTAAGCACATTTTTATTCAATGTTCCAAAACCAAACCAAGGTACAGAACTAAAATATAATGCAAAATAAGAGGAATTGAATATGTTTTGAAGTTGTTATGAGATGAGGTCAATCAAAGAGAGAGACAAAACATTCAATTGAAAAGTTTTTCCTCTGCAATTTCAGTACTTTCTAGATAATTTTATTATATTTTAGGAATTGATCAGTTAGAGAATGACCTGGTAAAACCTTTTTTAATGCTTCTAGGGTCCTGTGCATGTGTTTAATGCTAATTTAGAGTGGAGTGCACCAAAAAGTGTTGAACTAAAGAAAACTGATAAAGGATATGGCTTCAGTGTGATTGGCTCTGCTCCAGTTATTATTCAGAGTGTAGAGGAGCAAGGACCTGCTAAGGTTTGTTTATCTGTAATTCTTCTATCTGTAATTTTGTTGTTGTCTTTGTAGAAGTCTTTTCTGCTTCCTTTTAGCTAAGGGAGAGAAGCAAGAGCTATGAAGGAATCCCATAAAGGCATAAGGAGGAGGGAGCCCCTTTCTTTAAAAAAGTAGGATCCCCTTTGCTCTTAATTTTTTTGTTTCCTTTAGCTTCATGGTTCTGCTGTTTAGCTAAAAGGAATAATATTAGACTGCTACATAGGTTGCAGAAGGCTTCTCTTCCATTTTATTCTCTTTACCTGTGTATTTAGGCATCATGCATATGTCAGATGATTATGATATGACTTGTGTCATAAATGAAATCAAAGAGGTGAATGAAACTTAACAAGAATTAAAAGTTAAACCTCTCAAGTGAAAATTTATTTTTTCATCCATTTGGGCTGAATTTTCACTGACATAAATGAGGTCTGTTAGTATTTTTGTAAACTTCCCTGTGCTCATTTTCAGGATGCTGGAATTCAAGCAGGAGACATAATCACAGCTGTAAATCTGACTGACTGTAAATGGGGCGATCATTCTTCTGTTGTGTCCTTAATTCGTAATACGGAGACTTGTGTCACACTTGAGACTGTAACACCCTCCTCTCTGCAGCACATTGCTTCATTGTACAATGTCAAGCTAACAAGGGATGATCAAGTGGTAACCAGTGACTATAGTGGCTCCATAGGTAGTCACAGCTCAGGATCTTCCAGAAACAGTACGCTCAATGGGTTAAGCTCTCAAGAAAGCAGTAGCCCTCCTGGATCAACAAGATCTGATACTCCTGTTCGACACAGTGTGCTACTGGACATGGGCAATGAGTCAATTTTGTGGTAGTTGACTGGAAATAAAACCAACTGGCAATACTGTGGCACATGCCCTTTGCTTCAGCTCAGAAAGTGCAATCATCTGAGCCTGATTTCAATCATTCTATAGCAAATGCTTTTCAACTGAATGTTGTAAGACCAAAATAAAAACCAAAACTGAAGTAATCTTAACAGCCAATCAGAACAAAGAAAAATATCACAAGAAGCTACTGAGACCTCAGAGGGAAAACAAGGAAGCTCCTTTTTGAAAGTAATTCAGAATACAAAGTGGCCACTTGTTGTAGTTTTGCATCTGATTGGCTGAGGGTGGCATATTTTCTAGACCAATTATAGAGGGTAGTGGAACAAAAGCAATGTGATCCGGGATTTTCTTCAACGTTCAATTGAAATTTACTCTGACATGAATTGTCATAGTGTATAGTGACTGTTTAGTAACAGTGTGATTATTTTTCTAAAATGTGCTTCAACATGTATGCAATGGGGGTTGGGAAGCAAGTCAGTGGTGAAATGCTTCAAGTATTGGACTCCTATGTCTGGGGTCAGGTGTGATTGCTGGAATTGTCATTATCAATGGGCTAACTATGTGCTTGATCCTGGCCCATGCTTTGAGTTTTTCTTTGAGGGAGCTCACCAATTTTTCCTATCTACGAGAGAAATCCTCAAAATCCAATTTGATCAGAAATGGTGGGTAAAGAGCCAAAGGCAAAAAATGCTGCTATTTAATTTGGTTATTTTATTATATATTATTTATTTATCTTGTTAACGTGGGATATCAAAACAATTCAACTAATTAGTGAGGGAAATAAGCTGGACAGTGGCTCGTTAAAGACCAGGCTTGGCCTCTGAGAACATTTATAGATTTCATGTAGTGTGTCTTTAATTGTGGGGCAAAGGTTTAGATTGGCTAGGAAGGAAGACACAAGGTTAGCACATGACAGTATGGACACACCTTTTTGTCCATACCATCCTTATGTTCTTCTTCATGGGATTGGTGCTCATTTGACATTAATGGAAAAATCTTACAACATGTAGTCTTTGTCGAAGCCCACATCTATGAAGGAAGGGTCTTCTCCAGAACTCTTTCTTTGTCTGGTTGGTTTTTTTGTTTCTTTGCTTTGCTATCATAGTTATTTTTGGAAAAAATTATTTTATAAATCATATTGTTTTCAACAAACATAAAATAAGTCATTTAACAAGAATTGCTCTCTTTTTGAAGGATATTATTTGAAATTGGTTTGCTTCAATCATGGATTGCAAAATAAATATTTTGTCTTTGCTAAAATATAGATATTTATCACAGATAATCTATAATATTTTTATATAAAACTTGTATTAATCGTGAAGTGTTAAAACATTATGAACGTAAATAAATGTTCTTGGTCCAAAGGAATTTAACAATTAACTGTATTGAGCCAATATGTATGAAGATTCAGTAATTATTCATTCTCTTTTCCTTGGTGTTTGCTTCTCTCAACCTTCGTAGACAAGAGAGAGAGAGTCCTGAGGCTTCTTTGGCATAAAGATAAGTTAAAACTGACATGTTACAAGCCTGGCACTCAAATATATTCTGTTTGTCCCAGGTTTTCAGGGTCTTGCATTGTTTATTTAAAAATGTCAAGCGACTCATAAATTATGTAGTGGTGTTCTTTTTTTGAAATACCTTAACTTGGTTTCTATAAAATTGCCATGTTCTCCCCTTTAGCTAAAAGATTTGGATCTCCAGCTTATGTTTGCGATCATAATTACAATCAATGAATTGAAAATATCAAGTGTGGATAAAGTTAGGCTATTACATGGACATTCAATGGAGAGTAATTTTTTTTTTATAAAAATCCTGTTGCCAACACTTAAAAAACACATTTGTGTCTCTGCTGATACAAAAAAAAAAATGGAGTATCTTGCACAAGTTTCAGAAATTAGACCTGGATAAAGTAGTTGATATTAATTTCTTGGCCTGTTCATATGAAGTATTTAATTCAAAGAATTATGGATTTTAAAATCTGAAAGGGGTGAGGTTTTTTTTTAATATACCCTTGAAAACAAAGCTATGAATGAGAGATCTGCCAGATACACAGAGTGTATATGAAACAATTTGCACAACAGGAATTATCTTCAAGTAGCTTTTAGAGGCATCTTGGAATATGAAAGTCATTAAGACCACAGGCCATGTAAACAAAATGCTATGCAATTTGGATTGACCATATAGATAAAACTGAAGGAGTCTTCTTTATTCAGTATATTTCAGAAAATGTGCAAGTTCTTGAGAAATATATTTGAAAGGAAATTTTCATGAGGAGTTGAACTATTTGTACATATTGATTGTTCCTTTCTTTTGATCTATTAAAGGGCAACAAATAGATGCAATCACTATAACTGAGAAAAATGTTTGCTTTATTATGTAAAACAAATAGATTCCATGTAGTGTTTCTTTTCAGTAACAGATCACAGAAGACATCAAAATGTGGTAAGAACATCAGTAACACCTGGCTGTGCCTTATGTACAACTTTTTTGTTTTTATCACATTTTTGCATCATCTGTGATCTATTACTGAACACATGCTCAGCAACATGGAATCAGTTTGTTAAATTTACAGCTTTATTCATACTAACTAACTCAAAGAGTTGTAAAACATGATCACCAATAGTAGAGAGTATATAGCTTTGAAAAAAGATAAGTACACTTTGAACACCTCTTTATGATGTTATTTATGTCAGACTACTACTAAGACAAGCTGTCAAACCAGCTATCTACGAGAAATTATATTGTAGGCTTTATTAAACACACTCTTTGATTGATTCTTACTTAGACAACAACACCTTTGACAACTTTTTGTCTCTTTATTATGGAAAACAAATAGATTCCGTGTTGCTGAGCATCTGTTAAGTAATTAATCAGCAAAGATGCCAAATTGTGTTTACCCTTAAACTCATGAGTGACCAAGAAGACAAGTGTTGAGAAGAAGGAAAAATATCAATTAGGGGTAATAAGTTGATTCCATCCCAAATTCTCCAAACTAACATCACAAGAACTGTATGGCAGACAGTAAGAAGAATTACTAATGAGATCTTGAGAGTTAAAGGGTTAAGAACATCAGTGCCACTCAGCTGTGCCTTATGTGCCACTTTTTTTTTACCTCATTTTTACATCATGTGATTTATTACTGAACACATGTGTCCACAAGGAACCTATTTGTTAAATAGACAGCTTTATTCATACCAACTAACTCAAAGAATTTTAAAACATGATTGACAAAAGTAAAAGTATATAGCTGTGAACAAATACAAAGTAACACCACTGTGAGCACTTTGAACCCCTTATCATGGTGTCATGTGTTGATCAATTTGATACGTCAACATGCCCCCTTTCAGGCAAACCCCCGGAATTTGAACTTTTAAAGATTTGTTGTTTCAATAACCTGACTTCTAGGGCCAAAATTGTATTCAAAAGCTCTGAATTGGGTCTTAAATTTTTTGTAAAATCTTGTAGACTTTTTCTTATGAACCATCTACTTGCTAAAGTAAACTTTTAACTTTAAATGATACCTCCATTTAAAGATAAAACACGTTTATACTGCTGAGGAGAATTGACAGTTTCAGTTCAGATTCCAGGCAAGGTTCAAAATTCCCCACTCTGCTCTCACAGACAACATGTGGGTTGCCCGGGGGGGGGGGGGGGGGATGTTGAAGCTTCAAATTGATCTGTGCATTATTTATGTCAAAATAATAATGAGAGAAAATTACAAAAATATCCGGGTAATCAAAGGTATCATACCATTTACTCTGCCATAAGCTATAATATGAAGTTATTGTGATAGATCTTGATGCCCTACTCGTGCAACAGCAACATAAAACTTCGTCTTGTCATTAATGTCATGCCAGCCTATTGGTCCACACTCACAATCGGCACAGGCTAAATATTTGATTGAATCCACAGTCATTGAAAAGCCAACATTTTCGAACGTAAACATATCTGATACCATCCAATGTTCTTGAAGGATTTCACCTTGATGTTCTTCAGCGCCAGCAAAGTCCTTCTTTTTCTGCATGAAAGGTAAGAATAGCTGTATAAAGAGAAATTAAACTGGTTGTTTGTTCATGAATTGTTACTAACATAAATTCGATCGATTGCAGGGTTCAATTTTAATTAAACACAGATCAATGAGGTATTTTGAACTTCGAAGATTTAGTACCTCTCTTTGTTCGTAACTGGCCGCGCAAGGTCGCAGAACTTTTGATCCACACAACTTACAGACTACCCATTTCTTGTTCTTTCCATTCTCAATAATATCATCCATCGTCCTCTTTTAAAGCTAAAAACTGGTTTCTTTCTTCCTTTGTCTAAATGACTCAAGATCAGTACGAAAGGTCAGGGTCGAAAACTGCCAGGCGGATGACAGCGCGTGCAGATAAGCGAAGAGGGGCTGGAACCAATTTATGGTCAATTAAATTTTGTGAGGAGGAATGGTCCTGGGGACGAGGGTTTTAACAAAAAGTCGGGTTCAATAGATAAAGAAAACATTATAAAATCTATTTCATTCTTTATGAAAACCAGGTATAATTAATTTTGGAAGCTGCTCTATTATCAATCTTTGCGAGATTTCTTTCTGATTCGCTGCAGTTCAAGTTTTATCACAAGGTAACGTCTCAAGAATTCCCAGCGAGGTCTTTTAAACTTTAAGCGTAATTTTTGGATTACACTAGATATATTTTATTGAACACCAGCCTGTCTTACAAAATTATCCATTAAATTTAAAAAAAAATCCTTTATAAGAGGCGAAGCGGATAGCATTACGTAATTCCTATAATTAGTTCATCCTGGGTTGCTTAGTCACTGTTCCAGTGGTCACATAACAGCCTGTGTATGACGCATTTCTCAAGAAGAACCAATCACAAGACCGCTTTTCTGCGTCATCCACATTGAGGAGATGTCAAAGCTGGTAGACTATAATAGTTGAGTTGCAACATTTTACGTGACTAGTATTTCTCAGAGGTGCCGTAAGTAATCAGGAAAATGGCATCAGCTATAACGGAAGACGTCCGAGCAAACAATGATCGAAGGTACCGATAAGTTGCGTTTATTTATGAATCTGTAAAATAAAGATTTTCTTTCTACAACCTCTTTGTTTACATTTTGTAGTGTGGTTGCATCATCAATGGAACTCGAGAGATCAAGGTGCTGGTTTCAGAGAAGATGTTCATGGCGACCAACCTCTAAAAGTTTGCTGGAAGCTGCAGAAGCGAGAATTTGGAAATGTAAGTTTCCGAGGTTTTGATTCGCTCATAAGCAACAGTTATCCAAAACTAACCAGATATAGTAAAATGTTAGCAGTGCTCCTTGTCAGTTCCCGGCGAGGGGTTCATCAAATTGTCCAACAGTAATCAGGTTCAGGCTCAACAGTGCCTGTGATGAGGGCGATGATTATCTATCTTGAGTTTCGGGTTTTATGGAAAAACTCATGAGGATAGCATTAGAGGGTGACATTCTTCAAATTTTCTCATGGTCAATGGGCCAATGCGTCTTCTCGATCGTGCAAAAAAATAAAATAAAATAAAATAAAAACAGGAACAAAACGCAACGAAATAAAAAAAAAAAACTGAAATGTAGCAAAAGGTGAGGTGAGATCAGCCCCATTGACCAGGTTCATTTGAGGAGATCTTTGGAGCGATGTGCTCATCATTTGAGATGTCGACACCATTTGACAAGGTTGATCAAATTAATGAATAAATATTTCGCACAACAGCGATTTTTGATTGACAACAGTAACCAAAAAATATTTATCATGATCTATACACTGTATTTATTTGCTAATGAAAAAATAAATTGCTATAGCCTCAAGTCATCTAAGTTAACATTATTAAACCATATGGTTTTGTATCCATACAGTTGTCAAGTCTCGTTATGAGGGCAAGCATGTGCCAGTGGAAAACAATGAAAGGATATGGACCTTAAAGTTTAATCCTAATGCAACTAAAGTACCACTGGTGATGATTCATGGCTTTGGAGGAGGTGCTGGCCTGTGGGCACTGAACATTGATGCCTTAGCAAAACATAGGACAGTGTATGCAATTGATCTGTTAGGATTTGGCCGCAGCTCACGACCACAGCTGAGTGGAGACCCGCAAGAAGCTGAAGAACAATTTGTTACGTCTATTGAACAATGGCGGCAGGAAATTGGGTTGGAAAAGTTTGTTCTCCTTGGGCACAGCTTTGGCGGCTTTCTGGCAAGTTCATATACATTAAAACATCCTTCCAGAGTTCAGCATCTTATCTTAGCAGACTCTTGGGGCTTTTCAGAGAAACCAGCAGAATTACAGTACAATATTCCAACATGGGTGAAGGTTGTGGCAACTCTTATCCGCCCATTTAATCCGCTGGCAGGACTGCGAGCTGCAGGCCCGTGGGGTAAGTTTGAAAAATTTAACCCTTTTATTCCCACAATCTCATTAATAATTTTTTTTACTGTCTGCCATACAATTCTTATGATGCTAGTTCAGAGAAATTGGTATTAGATCAACTAATAATCTCCTGATTCATATATTTTTTATTCTCATCACTTGTTTGCTGGATATTTTAAAGAGAAATTCTCTCTTGGTCACTCATGGGAGTTGAAGGGTTAAATTTTTTCTTATTGGTTACACATTTTATTATTACAAAAAAAAATAATGGAAAGTGGGGGGAGGGTTGGGAGTGGGGAAAACTTCATCATTCATATACCTCCTGTAGGGTTTTTTTCAGTTTCAATCCCTCCAATTCAGAACTTTAATTTAGCTTCTTTCTACCCTTAAAACTTTATGGTATGATTTTTAGCAACCCATCTCAATTAGGAATTTCTTTTATATTAACAAAATCAATATAATTGAAATGCTCTTGTCAGCAGAGGTCCCTTAAAATAACTGATTGCTTAAAATTGATTCTGAAAGTTACGATAATGTAATGGGTTTGAACAGTGTTTGAAATGTCATAGGTGGAAGTAGGAGTTTATTTGATTATAACATGTCTGGCCATAATAAAAATAAATGATACTACACACAGAAAATAGATTTAAAGTGATATGCAAGTTTTTTTTTGTCTTGTAGGACCATCACTGGTGCAGAAATTTAGGCCTGACCTTCAAGGGAAATTTGCTAGTCTTCTAGAAGATGACACCATTTTCAACTACATTTACCACTGCAATGCTCAGAAACCAAGGTAAATAAAAGAATGGAATAATCAATTATGAAATGTAGCAAATGCCCTTCTCCTCCATTGAGCCCACTTCTCTAATGAACCCCTCCCCCCTATAAACTTTCCTATCAAATTAGCCCCTCTCTCTAACCACCCTTCCCTTAAATACACCCTCCTCTCAAGTGCACCTCCCCAAAAAGTCTCCCTCTCCAAAAATCCCCTTTTTCCAAATAGTGCTCCATTAGGAAGGTCCTGAAATAAATAAGCTCCACAGGCGCCGAGAGGTTTACAAGTGTCTTAACAAATGATAGTAAAATAAATAAATAATGGGATTTAGCAGAGGACATTCCATGAGGTGGCTCTTCTTGTCCGTTGTTTCCAGGTCAAATTAGAATTTATAATGCTGGTTTTTGTTTCTTTTTCAGTATGAGGAAATAAGTTTGTAAAAGTTGTCTCAGAAAACAGGGCTGATTTTTATCTAAGTTAATATTGTTTAATTCTTTTCTTTTTTTGTGTTTCAGTGGTGAAACAGCTTTCAAGAAGATGTCAGAGTTGTATGGCTGGGCAAAATTCCCCATGATTCACAGAATTGGTGAATTGGACAAAAACATTCCAATGACAATGATCCATGGCTCAGAGTCTTGGATTGATTGTTCACCCAGCTATCAAATTAAAAATAGTCGCAGTGGTTATGTTGATGTACAAGTGATTGTTGATGCTGGACACCATGTTTATGCAGATCAGCCAGAGGCATTTAACGTGGCTGTAAATAAAATTTGTCGCAAAGAGGATAAACTACTTTATGTGACCATTGACTGAACTAAAACTCGCAGCTTTTAAGCATGTAAAGAAATAGGGACATTATTGAGGTATCAGTTTATATATCTTTACTGATTGAACAATAATCAAGTCATTTCTATTTCAAGCTGACTTGATCAGTGTTGAATTTTTTGTGTCTAAAAACATAACACTAAGGTAAGCTTAGAAACATATCTATTGATCTTATTTTGACATTCATTCATTCCAATCTACTGGCTGGAAAATCATTGGATATTCTAAAGGGGAATGAGGGTTTAAAAAACCAAACATTTAAAACTAATGCAACAATCAATTTGAAGCTTCAACATCCCCCTCCTCCCCCCATGCACCCCATGAGCATTTGTCTGTTATCTGTGCCTGTAGGGTGGGGAATTCAGACCTTACCAGGCTGGGGTGGGTAATTTGAACTGGAAGTGTCAAGTCTTTCTAGTGAGAATACAAATGTTTTATTGTAAATATGGTGAAGTTTAAATGTAAAGAGCTGACTTCTTCAAATGTTCCAATGACTAGGGGGGCTGCCACAGAAAGGAGATGTTAAAGCTTTGAAGTGATTGATGCTTCAGCAGCTAACAAAATGATGGAATTTCTAAAGGTTTTGGGCTGGGGGGGGGAGGAGGATTAAAACCAACAGCCAAATTGTGCATCATATTTATAAATGTATTAGGATACATTTCTTTTACTTCTGCGAAGTTGTTTTCTTCATTTCCCTGCAAATGTATGTCTAGACTCCCACAATTCATTTTAAACTATCCACATTATCGTTTAACTTGTAACATAACATGAATACTATAAAAAATGGTTCATAGAACCCTTGTATTTAAAATATTTATAGTATGTTGTTTTCAAAAAGTTATACTTCACTCACAAATCACCAACAGATTTTGAGTTGTTTAATTATATACAATTATTTACATAGAAAATAATCAGAAATATAATCAATAAAATTTTTTAACACATTTCAGACGTTATTTTTGTAATTTGATATTTCTCTCTATCATCTTGGTGCAAGCATTGTTCTTCACTAGATTCACTGGTCTTTTGCAATCTCCTTAGATGTGGAAACTGAGATCCCTCCAAATTACATTGTAATGAAACAATTGTGATTTAAAATTGGAACGAGAATGCTTATAAAATCTGGTCAGTCTGGAAAAAAAATTAGTTAGGTGACAGAAAAACGTAACAGGTACATATACCGAAAAACCCTGAGGACATGGACGAGCACCAACAACAAACTCAACTCACACGTGAGGCCAGGCCTGGGAATCGAACCCCTGGGCAAGGCGGTGAGAGGCACCTTCCCTGCTCCTCATTGTTGTTTTGCACTGGACGGCTGGGAAATGTGCAAAGGTTGAAACTACACGTGCAGTGCTATTACCCTGCCGCTCATTTAATCTTTTGTTCCGCTACAACCCGTTGCTTGGGTTATCGTCGTGATTTCCAATTTTGAAAAGAAAATCGAACGCCTGATCGCAGGTCACAGAGATTGATCCGAGTTTTATTAAAATAACGTGGTTAAAGACCGGGAGTTGGTGCAAAGGATGATTTAGCAAAGTGAAATTTAACAGCTGAAAACAGAGTTTGAATACCCGCCCATTTCAAGGGTCATTTTAACTGCGCATGTGTAGTGGTGTTCGCGTGACGTAACAAAGATAAACAATATACAGTACATGTTTCAATGTCGGATATGTCAGACGCTGACCAACAGCTAATAAACAAAGAGAAGATGAAGAAAACGTGACCTGAACAACATCTCTTATAATAACATATGGAGGATACGAGAGATCAAAGGTAGAGTAATAATCAAGTGGTTGAAGTTCTTTTTTAATCCATAGAAGGCTTTCTGAAGCAGATTGAGAATATTTTGTTTTTCTCTTGAAGTGTTGGCGGGAATGAATCAAGCGCTGGCGCCTGCAGTTGGATTAGTAGTTGGTTTACGTGGTCCCCGACCTCAGAGAAGCTGTTAGAGGAAGCAGAGTCTCAAATATTACAAAGTGAGGGTTCAGTGATCATTATTTCAGCGAAACTTTATGATGTCGCGATCAAACGAGTGAAACATCGCGTGTATTCTATTGTCGCTTAAAAAGTTACGTCAGCGTTTTATTTATCTGTTTGCGTAGATTGTTCAAAGCCATCTCAAAGCTTTGACTAATTCATTCGCTTTACGGACTTCACAAAACTACGTACTGCAACATCCCTCATGTTTGAATTACTTCCAGGGTTTTTTCGTGCTGTACGTGTCCTGCCCTGCATAATAATTTCTATAACCCTCTGACCTTGAACTGCCTTCATTACATCCGTGTGCCAAAACTTATTACGTAACCAGATTCACGCCAAGAACGGGAAAACACACTCCCTTGCATTGGGCTCTCCTAAAAGGTCGTACTAAGCACATTTCTACTAAAGATATAATTTTTCAATTTTATGATTACTGCATCATCCGTGGTAAATAAAACATGGCAAACAAAGTGAAAGCGGGGCTATATTTAACTCTGTCTTCCTGATGAAACTTTCTCATAGAAACCCAATCTCATTATGAAAGCCGATTTGTACCGTTGGAAAATGGACAGAGAATATGGACATTAAAGTTCAATCCAAAAGCTAGCAGAGTACCATTGGTCTTGGTTCATGGGTTTGGAGGAGGTGTTGGTCTTTGGGCATTAAATTTTGATGCCCTCTCCAAGAACAGGTCTGTTTACGCATTTGATGTGCTGGGGTTTGGTCGCAGCTCCCGGCCTCAGTTGAGTTCAGATCCATTGGAAGCTGAAGAACAGTTTGTGGACTCCATTGAGAAGTGGCGAGAGAACGTCGGCCTTGAAAAGTTTGTTCTTTTGGGTCACAGCCTCGGTGGGTTCTTGGCAAGTTCTTATGCCTTGAGGTACCCTTCCAGGATCCAACATCTGATCTTAGCTGATCCATGGGGCTTTCCAGTGAAACCTACTGAAGATAATATGAATATACACATCCCTGTGTGGGTTAAATTCCTAGGAGCTGTTTTAAGTCCATTTAATCCATTGGCTGGATTACGTGCGGCTGGTCCATGGGGTGAGTAAATAAATAAATTGGGAAGTTGATGCTATTCTTTCAACATAGTGGATGCCAGCCAGTGTAAGGCAAATCTTTTACATTGAATTACATGTCAGGGCCTCCACAGCAGTGGGGGTGAAAGCCTCCCCCCCTAAGTCCTTCCCTTCAGGCAAGTCCCAAGATCTCATGAGTAATTCTCTTCACTGTCTGCCATAGAGTCTTCACAATGTTAGTTTGGAGAGTTAGGGATTGGATCAACTGTCAATCCCTGAATTGTTATTTTCCTTTTTTCACATTTCTTGTCTGCTTGATATTGAAATAATATTGTAAGGAGAAATTCTGTCTCTGTGATTCATGGGAGTTAAAGGTTAAGAGGCTCTCCTTGGTATAAACCAGGTAAAGGCCTGACCTGAAAAGTAAGATCCTCATTGTCCCATACTTGATGGTTGAAGCGGAGAGCAAAAGGCTATAACTTTATATTATAAATTATATTTTGATTTATTACATAATAATGGAATGTTTGATATCACTTTTTCTTGTAATTTATAGGTCCTTCTCTAGTGCGACAATTCAGACCTGATTTTCAAAGAAAGTTCTCAAGTATCCTGCCAGATGATACCATATTTAACTATATTTATCACTGCAATGCACAAGTACCTAGGTAAGAGAGAGAGAATTGGTGATGAGTAAAAGATTTCTGTGATTTCCAACAAAAGGGTTTTTGTTGACAGCCGACTAATACCCATTTTATTTGGGAATGGAGAGAAGCACTCCAATAGTTACGTGTCTCCTAGAAGATAATATGCAATGACCTCAACTAGGCAATGGGAAAGACACTGAGGAGTTTTATCAAACAGTTGGTTGTCCCTCATTCATTGCTCAGCACCTAATAAGTGATTGTTATTATCCAAGTGCACAAAGTAGAGTACAAATAATGTGCAAATAGAGTACAAATATTCTGCAATATTTTACAGTTATTCTGACAGTTGGTTATTTTGTACTGTAAAAGACCCTGTTTAACCAGTTGGCTGTGTGCGCTACACTTCTCTATCTGCTTTGCTTTTTCCACCTTATGCAAAATCAGCTGAAAGACTTAGCAGAAAAAAGACAGTTGGATAATAAATAACTTATTAGATGTTTTGGTGTGTAGTATTGCTGAGTATTTTTATGAGCTGTGCGATATCTTGACAAGCCCATAGGGTAAGTCAAAATATGGCACAACTCATTAAAATACTCAGCGATGCTTCACACCAAAACATCTAATGACAGAGATATATTTATTCTCTACAGTGGAGAGACAGCTTTCAAGAACATGACAATCCCATATGGCTGGGCTAAGCATCCAATGATATATAGAATTGGTAATGTCAACAGAGACATTCCTATAACCATGATCTATGGATCAAGATCATGGATTGATCACAACACAGGGAAGGAAACCAAAGAAAGACGAAGTGGATGTTACGTCGATGTTCAAGTAATTACTGGAGCAGGACATCATGTCTATGTGGATAAACCTGAGAAGTTTAATGATTTAGTGGAAGGAATATGTCAAAATGTGGACAATGATGATAGTGAAAAATAATTTAGTTTGGTACATGAACATTCAGTCTGTAAATAAGGTTGCCTAAATGGTAGTGCTAATTGTCAAGTTACCAATTCCGTTAAAATCTCATGTGATAGTGTGCTGCACCATTTGAAAATTTTGTGGGTTTTAATTTTTTCTGATGGTGCTAATAGCCCTTTTTAGATCAGAATTAGTCACAGGCAACCAGAAACATTACATGCAAGAAACATCAGAGACTGAGGTTAATAAGTTGGCCAGTTGTCTGCCAATTATTTAATTAGCTAATTGAAAGACTTGAGGAAACTCAAGAAAAATTATATTTTGGGCTAGACTGTGATTAGAGGCTGGTATCCTTGCTCAATTCTGGTGTTTAGTCATCATCAATGAAATGCAATTGATCAGTTGAGAGGTACTTTTCAGCTCCTATTTGAAGTTACTGGTTCCTCTTCATAATCATCACATTGCCACATGAACAAAATGGACATGGAAATTTGTTTACTCAGTGAAACTTGTTATATTTAAATTACCATTTATACCTGTAGATACTTATTGTCCTGTATACATTATTTAGTGAATAATTCTTCACCTCTTGCTACACCATCTGGCTGAAATTACTACTAACAACTAAAAAATTTCATTCAATAAATTGTAAGTTAATTTAGGAGCATAAACAGTTGGTGATGTAGTTTGTAATACTTTGGAATTAGCTAAGAAAATTGCACACAAAAGACATCTTAGATTTAATTCTCAATTTTAGCCATGTTTAACATGTTGAAAATATTTTGATGTAGGTCTGTGATTAGTTGTAATTATAGTATCATTTTTAAATACATCTTATAACGTAGTGTTATTTTCTAAACACTTTAATTCCTTTATGGCAAATTTAGTATACAGGCACATTTTCCTTGATATTTATTTTTAAATAAAGTAGCTCCAGCCTCTTTATTGTTCTTCAAATTATTAATATAACTAATATGATTAGGGGGAGATTAGCCTAAATGGTATTTTTTTAATTCAATGAACTCAAGGAAATGTAACTCAGAACAATCATAATATATTTGATATTGTATTCTGTGAATTATAAAAGGGATGATGATTGATGATACATGTAGTTTTTATCGCTAATTGTAAAGAAGCCTAACTATGTCTCAACTGCACGTCACAAGGATCATTCTAGATTTCTGAGTGATGTTGAGATTGACCCACTGCTGGGAACTTTACAGCAGAAAATGAATAACTCATTTTGTCACTTTCTGGATGAAAGCATGTAGAATTCTGATGATGTTACATTTTTTGACAATGAAATTTTTTACTGCACACTTGTCTGGAATTTTCCCCTTACACTGACCACTATTTTGGAGTAAATTAACAATATTAAGGTCTTACAGTTGTACAGACTAGGATTGTCTAGACACTATTTCAGTTGATTAACTATCTATAATTTGCCTTTGCATGATTCAGCTTAGTCTGTTTCCCTAATCAAAAGTACATATTAAATAAGCTAAGAAATACACTCATCAGTCAAGATCACCCATGAAAACTTGCAAACATGCTCCTCACATAGCTGCAATCCAGCATCTTCACTGATAATCTATAACTCACACTGAAGACAAAGGTGCCAAGAGGTAGTTTTTTAATGACTACCTTCTACTCAACCAACTAAATGAGGAAGGAAAGATTACTTTATACACATCAGAAATCTTCTCCACTTACTTTTAAACCTTTTGACCCCTTAAAAGTAACTCAAATCTATTCCCTTACAATATCACCACTGGATACCAAATTAAGGTCACTTCCTTAAAGGAAATTATCACCAGTTAAAGAGGCCCTTCATTGTTAAATAAATTCTCCTTGTCAGCACCTTAGGAAATGTCTAAAGAACAGCATGGAGAATACTGATCTAAGGACGTAAAAGGGTTAAAGATAATTATTGGCAAACTTTAAAATATCTAAACCCTAGATTTCTGAGATAAATTTCAATTCCATATTAACCTTTCTACAACTCACATGGGAAAAACTATGACATATAAATAAGTATAGTTTTAACTTGTTGGACTTTATATTTCTAGTCTTTTTACACAACTTTTCCATAATTGAAAGCCGACTGTAAGCTGTAACTTGTACAATAGTCTTGTCTTGTGTATCCTCTTTTATGGAATATTCACATTTGGTCTCTGTTGTGGTAAAATGTTTCTTGCCCTGAAGTAGTCTGTCAGTTGCTTGGGAACCTCAGCCAAGACTTCTTTTGCTAAGGCAGCAGGAGAAACCTAAAACACAAGCTTACTACTTACTCTATTGATCATGCCATAAATTCTTAGTTGATGATCAGAAGATATTTATTATTTTATTACTAGCTCTGCATGTGGGTAAGATGAAGTGAAATCTGTGTTTGAATTGATTCACTTCACAAGCAAAACCAGTCTATCTTTCCTGTTTTGAATTGGCAACTGAATTTACATGACTGTATTGACTTCCCTCAATAAGATAAACTCTTGGTTTATTAAGCTGGCTTTCTTGTTCATAATGTAGACTCTGTTCTTTTTCCCATTTCATAGACCAAAATTTCACCTTGCCCATAACACACTGACACACCCACACAATGTGGCCAATATCAAGCCATCTTGACTGGTGCTGACATCCTTGTAAAGGGTTTGTGATGGAATCATACCTGAATAGGAAAAAACTTTCCCTGGAAAGCCATATTCTAGAATATAATTATACCAAATGAATATATATCCTAAGGAAGGGGGGAAAGAGGAAATTTCAAACAAGGGAGTGGTCTCTCAAGCTGAAATAATAAACAATCACTTGCTTTTCAGTGACAGTCCAGGAACCCATGCAAAAGAATTATGGGCTTCCCATGGAAAAACCAACTGTGGTTTGTAAAAGGATGATCAATACAAAGCTTACATTTTTAAATTTCCTATAGGGGACAAACTGAACAATATCCCTTTGAGCAGCTTTTCCATGAGCCATCAACCTGCTGGCAAAAATGAGAATAAATTATCTACTCAGCAAGGTGTAATAACAGTACTCTAATCTGCATTTTCAGGTTCACTATACTTAACATTTTAAGTGACCCATACATATGACTCTGATTACCTCTGATCATTTCTATGCAGATCTGAATACATAAAACACAACACTGTATATAATCAACTATCCTGTCCTTAAATTGTTAACCTGTGCATATGGGCACTCATATAGGTATTGTGGCAGAAGCAGCAATTTTGCTCACCAGCTTTACTTTGGTAGGAAGAGCTTGTCTGAGCTCCTGTGTCTGTGAAAGCCTGCTTGTATGCTAAGACATACTAATCAAGAATGTGAATCTATATTCTGATTCATGTCACCTGTGTGGTCACACAGACACTTTCATTGATTGACACTAATAAAGTCCAAGTTCAAACGGCCAGAAAAAAGCCCTGCATGTGTATGGCCCAGCAAGATGAAAAATGCAAGAAGACAAGAAGTAAGACTGAACAACAGTCAATGATAAAATGCTGAGACAGAGTTACATTTAAGTCCTATTGGAAGGGAAAATATTAACTTAACTCCATGAACGAGTACTTACACTTGGTCATCACTATCTAGTTCCTCCATCATTGCAAAGTCAGCACTTCCAACACCCACAATAATGATTGACATGGGAAGTGCTGATGCCGCCACTACAGCCTCCTTGGTCTGATCCATGTCTGTGATTACACCATCAGTCAATAACAGTAGTATGAAGTAGTTCTAAAAAAGCAATTCAAGCAATAATAAATTGTGGACAATGTGGCATTGGTTAACTATACCCTAAGATACTTGATAAAATTGAAATAAGGTGGTACAAAACTTTGGTAAATACAATGTAAATTTATGTATTGGATTAGATAAAGCATGTCCCTGTTTTTACAACTTACAGTGGCAGTTTGGGAGTGGGCTGCTTCATGTGCAAAGTGAGCCACATGGTTGATGATAGGTGAGATGTTTGTTGGACCATAAAGTTGTACACTCTGTATACAGGCTTGATAAGCTTGTACCAAACCAGCAAGACCTATGAAGTAACAAGACTAGGTTACAAACACCAATGTAATGATCAAGTTGTGACATTATATGAATATGCTCTAGAAGCCTACTGGTTCTGAAGTTGCAAAGAGCAATAAATGCAGCGTGTTAATTTCATGTTGAAGCTCTTCTCAGGTAAATAATTCTCAGTCAGGACATTTAAAACTGATAACAAATAAGTTATAAATAATTGAAGTTCACACCTGCACAATATGGGTTATTGGGATTAAAATTCAATGGAAACTGGTGAGAAACCTGAAATGAAAAAAAAAAGGGTTTGTGCAGCAGTTCCTTTCCATTAGAATCTTGTCACTTTTACTATACAGGTAAATTTCAATTTCAAAACTTAAAGCCTAGAAATATTAATCCCACATCACAATTTGATGACAGCTGCCTTGGATGTATGCTTAAAAACTAGAAAGAAAAAATATGAAAAGAGTAATGCCTAGGGGAAAAAATAAATACACCAACAAAAATAAACAAACTGGGACATTAAGAAACGTGTTTCTCAGATTTTTAAGAAAAAGTGAAAAACACTAAGGTATTTTTAGAATATCACTAATAAAATGTTCTGCCTGGAAAACCTACCTGATATGTCGGTGGAATTCTTGCTCCAAATCCAAAGGATGGAAAGAGTTTATCACTAGGAATGTGATAACGATTATTTATATACAACTACAAAACTTATTTCCTCACATCAAAACATGATTTTAATCAACTTTGCTGCATGCACCTCATTGCTGAGTTAACATGCTATGATAATCATAATTTGTTGATTGATGTTTTCCATTTTAGAGTTTGAGTAGAGAGAAGAACAGAAAAAACAAGGTTGAAGTGCCTTTTGCCGGACTACGTACATGTATTTACTCAGAGCCAAAGCTAGCCCTCAGACCTGGACCTTTCAACCAGTTGTCCTGTACACTGGTACTATCGGAGGGAGGCATTGGGATTTTTGGTTTTGCAGTTTTGGTGTTCATTGCAGTTCACAGATTGTCTGTTTTAAAACATTTGGGTTTTGGTATTCGTTAAAAAGCACTCCTGGGTTTTTGGATTTGGTATCCAATAGGGTTTTTTGACTTTTCCTATTTGGGTCACAGTTGCACCACCATTATGATCTTGAATAGCTGTGAATTAGATCATTTAAAGTTTTGATAACAGGGATGTGAAAATTTGTCAGTTTTGATGGTTTTGCATGCGGTTTTTGGTTTAGAAAATTTACAAAATAATGTGTCAGTTTTCTGGACTGATGGAGGGCATGAAACTGTCCTCAAATCTACACACCTATCATAGTCCTGGATGATTTCTCCTACAGCTGTCAGAGCCTGCTGATACTCATTTGGTGCATAAGGGTTGATGTAATGAAGGGATGTTGACTGGTTTGGTTCACCATTGGAAGCTGTAAAATCTATGCCAACCTATTGGTTATTATCAAAGAACATTGTAGTTATTGATTCAGAAATGAACAATGTGAATCAGAAGTTGTCTCTTTATTTTCATAACAATAAATGGATACCCAAAGCTATCAACACTGCTCTAAGATTGTTGTTATAAATTTCCAAACAGATATTGAAAAAAAAAAAAACCCAGAAATAATTAACATGGCTGATCTTTCAGAAAGTTTGCTATAAGTAAAACAAAGTGCAACTTGAACACGTTTTCAAGTTTGTCCCTCTACCCACACTTCTCCTCACTGAATTCTTGACTCCTTAATCATCAGATAAGTGTGAACATGTAACTTCCTATTACTATGTCTATACATACTCCAGCATATATAGGTGATAAGAATAGACAAATTCATCAGCTAGAGAGAATAACCTTGACTCAACTCCAAAAAGTATATGAGCCACGAGAGAGAATTTTGGCTGAGACAAAATCATATAAATTAAAGAACTCTCCCTGGATTTCTTATTTTCATCAAGTTAAACATAAATCTACAACTTACTGTGAAGTTTAGCTGGCAGCCACCTTGAATGAAGTCTAAGAACGAAGATACTTTCACAACCTAATGAAAGGATAATTTTTAACAGATGATGATAAAACACTTCAAAAAGATTATCCAGTAACCAAGGGAATTTAAGCACAACCCTCAAATTGGATTGTTTTTTAAAACTGGGCTAAATCACAGTGAAGAGTGACTCTTTTGCCATCTCAATAGTCTCTAAACAGAAATGATTTATCTGTAAGAAACTTTGTCTTTCAAGAGGAACAATAATCTCTTTGATATTTATTGTATATGTCCTAAACAAATTACAGAAAATCAATTGAAGACTAATAACTAAACAACAATTTCAATTATATTAATGAAAATCAAAAAACCAACCTCACATTTCATGACAAAAACTACTCCAGAATTTTTGTAACCGCGCTTTTTCTTCTGTTTCTTTTCATTAATACATGGCCACTAAAAACAAGTAAGAGGGTACATCTCAATTATTTTAATTTGTTCCCTATCAATAAAAATACTTAGCTGTTAAGGCTGATCTACTGATCAACTGTATGGGTTTCATGATAATTTATCTATTCAGCTTTTAATGAGAGATCAAAATCACCAATTGAAAGCAATTAAATAATGACATTAAGCTTCTCAGTGATTTTATTTCAAATCTCAGAATCTGAAGTCTTATGTAAAGGATTCCAAGAATCAATATTATGGGAGTTTACACTCCAACTTCCAGAAGTGACCTACATGCTACCTCTCTTTACAGTTTTGATACACTATCCAGAATATAGCTAATGAGAATAGATAAATTGATCAGAAAGAAGACATTATCTTGATGAAATATTAAATTATCGTTTGGTAACTAATATTCTAGGAAACACTTTGCACCTATAGAGGAGAACAACTAAAATCATATTCTAGAGGTTACAGCTTCAAAAATTTGACACCAAGGAAAACTTTGAACAAAGGAGCATAAATTCCAGGTACTACACTAAATTCAAATAAATGTCTTTAATTTTGTTCTGTACCTCCCTAGATGGTTGAGTAGAGCACATCTCACGAAGATTTGTTGTAAATCCACCAATAAAGTCGTGTGATCCATCAGAATCCCAATCATAGCACAAAATCTGAAAAAAATGATGGAAAATAATATTATATTATTTCAAACTTCCATATCCAGGGAACACCCTTAGGACTAGAAAAAGTGTCCCTCTACATAATATAGAGGTGTCCCTTCAATGAAGGCAACTTATACAATCCATCACTATGGAACCTTTATTCAGGAGACACAATCAGGACTAAGAAAATGTCCCCTAAACAGAGGTATCCCTTTTAAAAAATGTAACACATACAATGGAATTTCTAACCAGTGATATACTCAAGACTAAAACTAGCATGTCCTTATGAAAAAAAGACAATAACAGTGTCTTTTCAAGGAAGGTAACAAATGAAAAGGGTATGGGAGCCTTTTTAAGACTGTAAGAGACAAGTTTTTGTTCTTTGGCTGAGGGTATCCCCTCAATAAAATGTGTGCTAACTCTCTAAGTTTATCCACAAGTCTTCCCGATACAGGACAAAATTTATCTCCAGGTCGATCAGTTTTCTTTATAGTTTTCCTTAGAGTTTTTGAAGGAAACTGCATTTCAGTTGGATGGAAAGAGCTACAATATCCTTCTTTAAGTACTTACTCGAATGGTCCTGTCATAATCTCCATTGCACAGTTGCTGCACTGGAATCTGAAATGGTTTCCATTTGGGATTTAAATTGTTCTGAATAACCTGTATAAAGGTTGACAAAAACAAGGTCATTGTAATAAAAGGTATCAAAATCCTACATCTTATCCAATCATGTACATTCACGAACTAACCTCTGTCCTATGTACAACAACAAAACTTCCATCTTCCTTTGATCTTGCAAATTCCAAATAGGGATCACTCTTTCCAAGAAAATCCTTGAAAAAATTTTAAGAGAATGGAACATACATGCATAAACATCTTAAAAACACATTTATGAAATTAAAATAAGTTGCTCTACCTTAGGTAAGATTGGTGATAATATGGCTTGTGTGTGTACATGTTTCATGTAAATCACCCCTGCTATGAAAAAAATGCCATAAAACTATGTCCGTTCCAAAAGTCACCCTTACCCTTATTGGTCTTCTTTTAATTTATAGGAGAAATCACATCACCAATTTTCCTCACTGTTTCTACACACTGGCATGTTATCAGATTATGAGAATTAAGAAGATTATCAATCTGGGGTTTAATTATTGCTTAGATCTAACCCCATATTCTCAGGACTGTTCCAAAGAGAACTATACAACCAGTTGTTTGGAGAATTTAGCTTTCAGAGATTGGGAGTGAAAGGATTAACAACCCAGCCCAGATCTAGAAGTCCACAGTAGTGGCACTACTCCTGGTAACCTGTGCTGTTGAGTTAATTCTGCTTATCTTCCATCACAATTTCATTGTAGAAAAACAGTATGCACTATTTGTCATAACAAAGCCATGCCACCAACCTTTTTGTCTAACTTTTCAGCTCTAAACTGGAAATGCACCTCATCGTTTCCACCAGAAACTTCTTCTGCTACCACCTAATAATTGCAGCAGGTTATTTAAAAAATGAATACAAGTGTTTAGTTAACATCAAACAGTACTGAGACCAAATTACTAACTAAAGAATTATTAATAATTCATCTAATACTTGTAAAAAACAATGATCTTAGCATTACCATTATCATTTTGCCTTATGATATCATTAAATGTAATTTTTAGTTGTTAAGAAGGAGGGAGGGAGGGTTTGTTAAAATATTTACAATATCAACCCACCGTTATCATCCCAGCTCGATTCTCAGCAGTACCTTTAAGAACTAGTGGTTTTGTATAAGTTCCAGATGACACAAGCTGGAAACAAACATGAGAAATCATGATCAGGGAAATTCAGTAACACATCTCATTGTTTTTTACTTTAATTGTTATTGAATGAATAGGGCTCTTTTGATATGGCTAGCACCTGGTACTTTGAATTGAAAATATTACAATGAAGATCTAACCAGGATTGTCGTATGATATGTAATATTATTCCTTTACCACGCCTTTTTACCATATTAGGGAAATAAAACATGCAAAATATGGCATGGTATGGCATATTTTATGGCATGGTGGACAGAAAGCAGAGCAACAAAATGGCCACACTAAGTGATCCAAACTTCCATTTTTAAGGCTTGACTTTTCAAGAAATAATTTCTTGGCAACTCATATTTTTTTTGTTAGTCATAGAAAGCACGTCATTGGTTTTACTTCTGTCTTTCACACAGGCCATTTTCAATTGATACTGTGCTCAGATGTACCATGGGGTGTATTTCCAAAACACTTGAAAATGAAATAATAATGCCAAAATTATGAGTATCTCATTCAATGGTTCACAAGTCATATAATATGAGAAGACATTCTGCTCATTCCTCATATTTTTCTATATATGCGTGTATTACAGGTTAAACCATTGAATGAGATGTATTTACACAATGTGGTTAATCACTTTGCTCTAAAAGAACTTCTCTCTATAAAGGAGTACGTACAGGGTAATAGTGAAACGTCACTTGAAACCAAAAGTAACAACCTGCTTGGTGAGTTAAGCTATGATGGGCTAAGTACATCTGTTCTAAAATGATCAGCAGCAAAATTATCATCAATTCCATTAGTGCTTCCATTATCAGAAATCAGGATAAGCTTTGGCGGCAAGAGACTGTAAGCTACAAGTGTGCAGACTTTTACAATATTGAAATGTGGAGCAAGTACAAAGAATTTACAGCTAATGAATGATAAATTACCTGAGTGGCTACGAATAATTATTCTGTGATATTTCTGCATGCAGTTTAAGATTTATTCATTTGGAGTTCAGTGTAGTTAAACTGTTAAACATAGATGTAGCTGAGTATAAAAAGTTGTAGACTACCTGACCCAAAGTGCACTCCATTTCCCCTAAGAAATCAGCAGACTTTAGACTCATGGATGAACTGTCAATGTCATAAATGAAAAACTTCAACTTCTGCAGCTCCTCAAAAAAGTAGTCTATAATAATGGCTGTTGAAAATTGAGGGTTCAATGTGTTATCCAACCTTTCTGTTCTTCCAACCTGAGAGTTAAAAACATGTTGTCAAGTAGAATTCTATTGCATACTGAAAGGAGTATAACATTCTTAAATCAGCTCATCTCTACTGAAACAAATTTCATCCACACCTCCCAAAGAAAATTTTTCACTGTGCAAGATGACAAACTTGTACATGTCACCTTCAATGGGATTAAGTAGTATTACACTCAAAAATAAACATCCACTTCTAATTATTTCTTTTTTAGTACATTTAATGACCAAAATGGTGAACTATTGTTTCTATTTCAGTCTTAAAAAAAGTTCCTCCTGTAAATAGTAATAACAGTTTACAGCTTTTAGAACAGTTCTTGTTTTATGTACAGAAAAAGAGCGTGGGCGGGCAGCATATTTAAATAAAGTTTTGAATAAATTGACTTTTAACAAACTTTTTTGAAAAGTGTAAACAGGAAGAGTTGACCTAAAATGCAAGATTAATGAAGTCTGACTTGCCAATTGAGATTTAAAGGTCATAAAGCCATAATCAAAATTAAGAGAACTGAAATAATTTTTATTATAAATTGTTTATTTTTAATCATTTTTTTCCTCCAAACCTTGGCAAGTGATAATACAGAATTAGATTTAAGGTGAAAAAGTATGTAAAAAATACAAAATTTTTCAAGGAAAGAAAATTTACAATACAAAATTAAACCACTTAAATTGAGTCATATTGTATATGGGAAGAAGAGGAAAGAGGCACCTCTAGATAAAATATTATTGTGCCCCTTAAGTTACATCAGTATAACAAAAAACTTGTAATTTTTTAGTAAAAAAGTAGAGGAATACTTTCAAAAATAGCTCAGTAAATTGTCAAAGAGATGATGTTTCATAAGTATTGAGGAAGGTACCAGTGTAAGAGTGCTTTTCTAAACATCTCTTTTGATGGTTTGCCTCTCACTAATTATGGGATACTATTCCAAAAGAATCTACCAATAACACTCAGGAAGAATCTCCTGAGATAAGTTCAAAATGAAGGTATGACTACTTGATTAGATGATGGTGGCACTGCAGGTATTGTAGTTACGTAGCTCAGATACTAGTGAAACAGGTATATTAGGAAACTTTTCATTCTGGAAATAATCATAAAAAAGGATACAAGTCAAGTGTTCAGTTTAACAATATCAGGAAATTATAATAATAATAATAATAATAATAATAATAATTTACTCTTATATTGCGCGCTTTCCATGAAATGATCAAGCATGCATTACATGATTTCTATCTATAGCAATTTAATACAGGATATCTAACTGATAATTATTTAAAATATACTATGATAAAATTAAAATATACAACATATGCTAAGATACTAGTTATTATCGTGATAAAATTAATAAAAAATTTCAAAAGACTTAAGGAGATACATAGTGTGGAGTTATTGATTACATTAAAGGAACATAATTTATAATACAAACCACTTTGTTTTGTAATTTTACAATTTGAGACAGTGGAGCATTATAATTATTTCCCCATAGTGTACAAGCATAAGTAAGGTAAGCTAAGGATATATAAGAGAATAATACAAACTAATAAGTGTTGCTTTTGGGACACATTGTTTTAACTTAACCATTATATTTATATTTTTGCTAATTTTGCCACATATGTAGTCAATATATATAGTCACACCAAGTGAGGTGACAGTCAATATACACACTAAGGTGTCTGACATAAAAGAGGACTTCTCTAAATGAACATTTACTACACTTGATGGTGGATACAAATTGTAATTTTCCTTTTGACAAGGCATAAAAATAAGATACTTAGTTTTCGTCAAATATAAGGTCAACTTATTACTGCATAACCATTTGTAGACAGCTAGCAAATGATTCTTAATTTCACACATTAAATTGTCAAGATCACTTCCAGAAACTGTTAAAGATGTAACATCAGCATATAATCGAGTAAAAAAAAAGCAGAAGACTTGAGAAGATCATTTATAAAAATAATGAATGGCAAAGGTCCTAGTATCAATCCTTGAGGTACACCGGTGGAGATGGAACATGACTAAAAAGCAACACCATTCACATACAACTACTTCTTCCTGTTATTTAAATAAGATTGGAAACAGTTACTTTCCCTTTGTTGTAATCCATAATACTCAAGTTTATTTAATAATAATTGATGATTTACTATGCCAAAAGCTTTACTTAGGTTTAAGAATAAAGAAACCACATAGTTTCCTTGATCAAGAGCAGAAGTTATTTCTTCGATAAGACCAATTAGACAGTCAAAGGTTGTTTAACCTGATCTAAATCCATATTGTTTGGAGGAAGTCATGTCTTCATCCGTAAGATAGGACATAAGCTGATTAAAAATACATTTCTCAAATATTTTACTTGCTGAAGAGAGAACTAAAACAGGTCGATAATTATTAAATATACAATAATTTTCAAAAATATTCTCGAATAATTGATTGCTGTTTTACATTCGTCATAAATGACTGCTGGAGAACCTGCCCCACGAAGTCCAACGATCTGAAATAATAAATCTCTAATCTCTAATCTAATTTCGGATCGCCGAGATTTTGCCAATAACATAAATGTGTAGCAATATCCTTGTAAAACTATAAACCTCCAACTTGCTAAACAACTGCGAAACAAACAACCCACATCATCAAATTATATTTAGACCCTGCCCGTAAGTGAGGTTCTCAAGCTATTTCAATTGACGGTTGATTGCGAAACAAAAACATTCTTGAAATGAAATCAAATATATGCCTATGTACACTATTCACCTCAAACCAGCCACCATCTTTAAATGACATCACCACGGCCATTGGGTCAGACTTAGACATGACATCTTTGTCTCGCAGATTTCTGCAAGAAATATTTAGCTGAACACGAGTAACAAACTGTGAAGTTGAAGGGGCGCTTGGAGGTGGAGGAGGGTATGGCGCCTGCATTGTTGGTTAGAACCTTGTCTCGGCTTCCTTTTGAGACGCCTAAAACTAATTAACACACGAATACACAGCTTTCCGACAGGTTTTCAACCTACTTCCTTCATTTAAATGAAGGAATTCGAGAGTGACATCTGCAAACCGCAAAATGCAGATGTGAAGGCAATGGGAGGCGTTGACATAAGCCTGGTACTTAGGATTGAACAATTCATGTAACGCTAAATGACATAGTAAATGAAAACCCAACATGGCGCAGTTCGTGGGAACAGTTATTGGAACCAAGATGAACAAGACGGCAAAGATCTTGGTAACCAGACTGGCCTTGTATAACAAACTGAAAACTGTAAGTTGGTGGCTTCTTTTCCTTTTTCGTGAATTTTCACAAGGACAGTTTATATTTACTTTTTAGCTTGAACATAAATTTTAGCCGTATCAGTTATGCAGTCATTGATCCAGATCGGATCTTCGGTAACATTTAAGTTAGTTGGTTTCCTTTGTTTTTTTACACATTTGTTAAGGATTTTGTTGGACACCATTATTAAATACAACTATAAATAGAAAGAAAGTGGAAATAAGTAACATGATGTGTCTAGTTTGGGGAACACATATATATATATATATAAACCTGTTAAAAACTAATTTTAAACGTATGATTGCAATGAAGAAGTAGATCAGAGGAAGAATTGCTAAAAAAGCAAGCTTTTATGGCTATTATTTACTTATATTACTTACGGCTTTATTGCCGATGTGCTGAAAGAGGATAGAATTTTACTTACCTGAAAGAAAGTCAACCCATCTTGTAGTAGAGTGACAGCTTTCTGAAGTAGCTAATGCCAATTATCCAAGTTTGACTGTCTCAGCAACATTAATTTTTTGTTCAATGCACTCTGACCAGTATTAATTGTTTGAAATCTGATTAAAAGGTACTCTGAGACCCAGGTTAACTGCTTACAAAATGTGGATAAAATTAATGTCAGTGTTTCTTTGAAAATTGCTGCACAGAAAAGTTATTTTCATTGTTTTCATATTTTGTTTAACTTCAATTATCTTCATTTTTCGTTTTGTTTTGTTTTTGTTTTTTATTTTTCAAGTTCTTTATAGCCAAAATCTTAAGCAGGAAACAAAGTTGAAACTTTTAACCTGTTGATTTCATTTTTTCATTTTATTGTAGTTCTTCAATGAAAGAAAAGTGTACTTTGCCCATGATGAAAATAATGAGTGTGCAATAGGGGACCTTGTGGTCATCAAGGAATGTCAAAGATTGAGCAAGAAGAAATATTTTACTGTGACAGAGATAGTTGATAAAGTCCCAAGAGTGGTTGATCCTGAGACTGGAAAGATTGTTTTGCAAGATAATAGAGAATGAAACTGTTTTAGGTATAAATATTTTTTTACATAAATGGAAGATCACAGTATGGAGTATGGCAATAACTTCTGAATGTGAAGATGGGCAATTGAAGTCACATTTTGTTCTGAAAACTTTGACTCATCTTTGTTCAATTGGCTAGCAGTAATATTGCAAGGTGTCAAAGAGGTTTACAAGTTCATTTTGAAGTCCATAATTTTCTGTTATTTCTCCCTGAAAAAGTGAGTTGTTTCTGCATTTGCAGCAAGAGGGGAAGTCTTTAAGTTATCTACATGTAACCTTTTCGTGCTGGCCCCTAAGATTTTCTTGATCCACAATATTGGCCCAGCTAGCATCACTTTTTAATTATTCCCAACTTTTCACTTCATTGGAAGAAACAAAAATTTGAAAAGTCATCAAATAAATCATTTAGAACAGTAACACAATTCATTAAGGGAATTCTATCAATGAATTAACTAGCTGAGTGAAGAAATCAACTTTAATGCTAATAACGCCTTTTACTACTTTATTTCCTCACACTTTACCCACAGAATTGTAAAAATGTATTAGTAGTTCATGAATTAAATCCTTGAATTAAAATCAACTGCTTTTATAAGGTTGTTAATGTTACTTTGTTCCAATTTTGCAACATAAGATACGGAGTGATGAAAAATATTTCTTTGTTTCCCTAACCTCTAGTCTCTCCTCCCACTCTCAGTTATCCCAAAGGCTTACAGAAGAATGATATTCTGAACACTAAGAGTGTACTTTTTTCTTCTTGGTTTAATAAACTCTTCCCTGAGAGTTTGAAAAATGGCATTTTCAAGCTCTTAAAAATGCATTGTACCATAATTTCCATAAGATGCCCATGGACCCAATCTCAAAGTGATTCGGTGCTGTAGTTTCTACCTTTTCCTCAAAGCGTGTCCAAGATTTCTTTAAGGATAAGTTGTCCTAGTAAGAGAAAAGCAAAGTAAGCAAACAATTTACTGTTGGGAAGTTTCACTTCTCGGTTAGGCTTTTAACACTTTTTTGAAATGTTAAACAAAGATTAGGAGCTCAATAGTCCTATTTTCTGCCGGCAATTTATCGGGTATACTAATCTACAGAAAAAAAATTTAACTCACTAACGACCGAAGACTGCATATGTACACCCCTTCCCCACCCTAGTAAAAAATTAAAGCACAGCCGCGGGCGCACGGCTTTTTCCCGCCAGTTTTTAAGACAAGTTCACTCGATGTCATAATAAACCTCAGAAATATTCCGTTTTGTCAACGGATTTCTTCGAAGAAAGGAACCTTTTTTCTAGAATCGAAACTGTCTTTAGGTCTGAATTTTTCTCTGTGTTAAACTGTAGTGGTATGACCAAGAAGCCCCGAGATGCCATTTGCAGGAAACCCTCTGCTTTAGATCAACTACTTCTGCGAATATGAGGCAATGTTTTGTTTACGTGGATACTTTGACTAGTTCGAAGAACACCTAGCCAAACAGCTTCAGCACACAGTTTCCCTTTGCTTTGGATATCGTTGAATACTGCGCGTCCTCCTTTCCTAGAACAACACGATTTCATTGTCATAATACATTGAAAGAGAGCTCAGCTTTGATTCAAGTCGCAAGATTGGTCAACTAGTGAAAATTTTGGGAAATGGCAGATTGGGTCCATTGCAATAGCTGCTATGTTCGACCTGGAGGAGGAAAATTATTTTCCCTCACGAACTGTGGTCACATATATTGTGCAGATTGCCTACAAGGTGAATTAAGTGGAAAACAATTGTACCTAGAGATCTAAGCTTTAATATAGCGTGAATTAAATTTATTGTTTACGCATTTTCATCGGTTTGCATCGTCTACAGCAAACCCTGATCAGTGCACAATATGCAGGAGGGCATGCAATTCAATCGTTTTATCATCGCAGGTAAGCTTAATCAAGCATTCAATAACAATTTGGTTTAAAGTTATTTCTAAAGTGGTAGTAAAGGATATTAGCGGAAAACAGAAGATAGTTATGAAAACCCTGAGTGCTTATTTTTATTATAATTACTTTTTCTTTCACTTAAGATGAAACCTGAAGTTGAAATGTACTTTACCAATCCTATTGATTTATCCAAGAAATACTACACGCAGTTGTCTCAGGTAAAACATTCCCAAGCTGATAATGGAATAAAATACATTATTTCTCCCAGTTTTACGATATCTATATTATGTAAGGGGAAAATAAAGATAGACAACTTTAGTTATTCAAAGCCTTTGCACAAGTTAAACTAACTCAAACAAGAGACTTCTTAAAATGGTGAAATTTTTTTATTTTTTATTTCTTAAGTATTTGTATCATATTGCCAATTTGAACAAAACCACTAGGGTACTATACTTTGATTTCAACGTGAAAAGGCCATGTATTGGTAGCTGTCAAACAAGGGAATGCCTTCCTCGAGTCTAAAAAGTAGAAGGCTACCCTTGAAAACTGGTGGAATTTTCTTGTCATTTTATACCAGGTGCTGGAATTTCAGAAAAGCCACAGAGAACGACTAGCAGCAAATATCGAGAAAAAGGTACGATCTATATGTACGTCCGTAGAAAAAAAGATGATTGATCCTTTTCCTCTGTATATGTTTTATAGCTGCGAGGATCCTGCGAGAGCGGCCAGTTTTCTGCCGTTTGACTCATGCCTCTTTTTACGAGCACGCGAAAGCTACTTGAAGCTCAACGTTCTATGTAGCTCTTGTGCAAATGTTTCAAATCATATTTGAGTGAGCTTGAGTGTGACAGCACGGAAGACATTTTGCAGGAAACACGAGACAGTGCGCAAACTGTCAAAATCGCACAATGCACGGAGGGCAGCTTGGCTAACCTAAGAGGCAGCTGAAGGAAAAATACCATCTTTTGCGCAGCTGAGGATTGTGTTACAAAGGACACATTGGGATTTTTCATACTCGATTGGGATTGCACTACATTTGCTCTAGCATACCCGATTTTATCTTCAAGGTTTTAGCAGCGGAGAGGCTCCAGCGACACATGTCCAGACTACAGGAACTTGAACGGTATTTAAAGTTCTATATGTTCCAACCAAATAAATCTTTAACAGAGGTTGGAAATACTGCTTTTTAACCAGAGGTACGAATAAACTTTGCGGCGAATGCAAAAAATTTTACTTTTAAATGATGTTGAGGGGAGCTTGAATAGCATTCAAATATCAAAACTTATAAACTCTGCTAAAATGTTCATTTGAACTAAACTAAACAATTCTCTGACACAGTAACTAGGTTCCCAGCAGCTTAGGGGAATTATTGCGTTCATAGTTCTACAATGACCTTGAGAAGTTCTACCGAGCTGACTTTTCATTCAGATAGTCCAGTTCCAGTCTGTACCGAAGAGGACTGACTGTCGAGTTTGCCTTTCTTGTGTAGTACTAACGGTCTCTTTGTCTTGCATAGGGAAGTTGCTGTTCTTCAAGAGGAGAATGTCCACCTCAAGAGACTGCTTGCCAATAATTCTAGTAGACCTGGAACACCGCACAGTTATAGGAATTCACCAGGGACAACACCAAGAAGGGGTACATAACTGACCTGTATTTCCCATTTGAAATAAAAGCTTTTTTTTTAAATTTTTTTCGAAGGGGGGAAACAGCGTAAATAATCACTTATTGTTCGCCTTACAAAGATCTGTCTCTATTTACCTATTTTAATCACTGATACAGCTAGTTCATATTATTTTAACTGAACCACAAAGCATGTAGCTTCATGCGATTGAATTTCGTTTGAAGAGTTATACTTGAAGTTAATCCCCTCTTTTCTAATCGTATATAAAAGGCCATACACCATCTCCGACTTGCAGTCAGTACTCATCCTCACCTTACGGAAGGACCACACCTAACAGGTAAATTTGGTCTTTTTAGTTCTTTTTCTTCGCGTGTAACTTATTTGTGAGGGTCAATCTAATTCATCTACGAGCCAAACTAGCCTTTAGCTAGGTTATTCGGCGCGAAAGATGATCTTGTGCTCTTTTCTCTTTCTTTTATTCGATTTTTGAGCGTCAACCTCCAGCACGGCTTTTGGAGCTCAACTTGAGGGCATGTATAATGCCGCTGTTTTCTTATAATAAAGCAGGTAGATTCTTATCCGTGAGGCTCGCTAGAAATAATCTTTCTCTGCTGAGACATGGGGGTCATAGGGGCTTCGCAATCGATTGATTTAGGACAAAACGTTCCATGAAAAGTTGTATTTGCCCTCTGATCGTTGTTCTTGCCTCAAAAACGATGTCTCTGTGTAAGTTTCTTATGGCAAACGTTTGAGGTCACGAGTTGTTATATGAAGGTATCACGTTTAAACTGCCTAATTTCTTGCAGTTCTCAAAAAGAAAACAAAGGGTCACATCATTGGCAGGTACGATGTATTTCAGTTATTGCTCCGTTTGAGCTGCATTTCTATTCATTTCCTCTTTTTGTGAAATTTCAGAACCAGTTATCCCGCCCTGCCTCTGGGCCAACGAGACTGTCAGTGAGAACTCCACCTTGCAATGGGTTCATGGGTAAACGTTATTTCTTTTTTCAATTTTGTAGCTTCCTTTCCTGTCTAAAAGATCTTGTTCAAACCCTCTATGTTCCGCCAGTGATGTTAAAAGTTAAGCCAGGCTCTCTCAATGAAGCCAGATATACTTATGTTTTGATATGATTCAGGTTATTCTTTTCTTTTCTATTCAGAAAAATTAAACCAAAACATACCTTTAATTATACCATAAATTGTTATGCTATTTGCAGGTACTGTTCGAGGAACTCCATCCCCAAACAAGCAGGTTTTATCCCGTCCAGGATCCGCTGGAGGGACACCAGGAACTGTTTTAAGGTATCTCAAACTTACATCTATCTATTTTGAGCCAAGAGTTTACTTCATACTTACTACCGTATATTTGGACTGTCTGATTCAACATAGGAATGTAGTAGGCTTTCGAACCGTGACTTCAATCCTATAACTTTTCTTTCCCCTTGTGATTATTTTTCATGTCCACAGGAACAATCTTCAAGGAAGACACCTCATAAGGACAGCGAACACTCCTGGGAGTTATGAAGCGGCCACGCCATCAGGTCTAGGGGCAACCGGGGTTACTTGTTCCCCCATGGCGATGTCATCACCTATCTTAACAACAAGGTCACTAGAATCGTTTATAAGCGTAGTAATTTTGCAACATTTGGTTTCTTGCACTCATGGATGATGCGACGATCAAGGAATGAAATTCAAACGATTGAAAATGAGTAAAGTTTGCGAAGTAATAAAAAAAGCACGCACCTATAGTTTCTACAACAAGAGAAACTATCAGAATACTTCAAAATACCAGATTTATGTAAAAAAGGATCTTTATGCAGAATACCTAAGGTTAACAATGTGATGACAAGGACTTGAAGAATCTCTGTGATTAACCCTTTTCGTGGCTATGAAAATTCCAGGATCACTATTAACCCTCAGCTTTTTTTATGGCTTATTTTCAAAATAACAAAGATCACTGACATCGATCAAAACAGTTGGTCATGACTCCAATTTAGTGAGGCTTTCTCTAGAAGCTCTAATTAATGACTACGCAACTTTCTAAAAATTTAACCCTAAGCCTCATTGCACACTACATTCTTTAGAATCTTTGTCGTCCTCTTAACATGTACATATTCTTTTGATCTCAGTGGTCCGCTCCCTAACCCTTTCACTCCCGAGATCTCACGGGTAATTCTCCTGGCTGTCTGCCATATAATTCTAATGATGTTAGTTCTGAGGAATTACTACTGGAGAAAATGATAATCTGCTAATTAATATTTTTCTATTTTCTCGTCACTTGTCTGCTTGACATTGTAAGAAGAAATTCTGTCTTGGCCATCCATGAGAGTTAAAGGGTTAAAAGAGAAGCAGGGGGTGGGGTGGGTGGGTTGAATTGGTTATGCGGACGTTAACATACATACTGCATGTAAGGCCTATTTGAATCTCCTATTTTTTCTCTACCATTCAAATTGCTCTCACATGTATACGCTTTTTTACGTATTTCAGATCTACTACAACGAGCAATAATAGGATAAGCAACAGATCACAGTATACAACTCCCTCTTCGTCTCAAGCTTCATCACAAAGTAATATTTCGACTCAACAACCCGAGCGCTGCAGCCGTAAGTAGAATGTGACCCTCCGGTTAGTTTGCGTGAAAGTGCTACTGGATCTTTACAAAAAATTACCAGAGAATTTTAAATGATAATGACTTTTTTCAGCAGAAGAGGATGAAATTTCCACACCCCCAAGTCAACTGGACCCTTCAAGGCGACAAATACAGGTTTCGTTTGTGTGCCTTACCTTGACCTCTATTCTTCTTTGGAACTTGAATTAGCCATTTCGTTGTTTAAACTTTTTGTTTGTTTTGTTTTCTTTCCAACAGCTGAGATACCAGCCAAGATCAGCGATAATAAACAAACAACCTTTCCTGTAAGTGTTCATTCTTGAAAATGAATATTAGATAAGATGAGTAGGTATTGTCGGAGGGAAGATAATTAGATTAACCAATCACAAATTTGAGTCAATAACCGAAATATTTGGAACGGGACCGGGTTTACACTACAATGTTGTCATGCAACAATCAAAACTTGTTTCCCAACCTTGGCACACCTTCAGTTTTTGAGGAAAATATTCAAAACTTATGTTTCCTTAACGAACTTTCGACGGGAATGGGTTGCGGCTATAGTTTTTAATTCCGTCTGATAAACGTTGCATGGCTTATTACCAAAGGAAACATGCATTCGTTTCCCCCTAAAAATGCTATCAGTCTAAACTTGTCCAACAATTACCGTTGCACGAAACCTTCATCAGTGGTCAAATGTAAAACAAAATAATAACTGAAGAAAATTACAACTCGAAAGTTGAGAGGAATACAATAAGCATTAACTCTTGAATAATTAACAATATTTGAGTCAATTAACGCCCTAACACCTCCCATGCGTTCATGTCTAAAGGAAACTTTCAATTTTATGCATCAGTTTTAACTCAGCACCTCTTATGGTGAAGTTTTATCGAAGGCAAATACATCTTTTTCTATGAATATACATCAAGCCTACCTTTCACAGCTTGCTTGGTAAATGGAGTTTGGCTTGGATCAGTTTATTAATTTTTGCCACAAACACGCATGCATATAAAATTTTGAATTGCGTAACTGAGGCCTTTTACCAGCATTCTCTAATTTTCATGCGCTGGTTGCACTGCAAAGAAGAAAAACGCACACAAACACACTCCCACACACCTAAAATAAACAAAATATCTGGCTCTTTCCACTGTAGTGAATTTAATCTTCAGGACTATGTTATCCTAGACAAGAAGTAGACATTACCTGTTTTGCTTGCGTCCAGCCTTTTCTTTAACGAATAAACCTTACAGACGGAAAGCAAGTTCTTGAGATGCGAAAGTTGATGTGTAGGTGATTTAAAAAATTTAATACTTCTTTTCTCGATTTTTTGTCGTTCACTTGTTCATGTCTGGCAAAAGAGATACTTAATATTCGAGAGCACCTAAAGCATTTATTACTTTTTTCGCGTAGGAGGAATTAACTAGTATCACCTGCAATCCCTTTTTTCTGATTTTCACGATATATTATTTATTCCAACCTTACCTTCTACGGTTATGTAACAATACTCAGACTATTGGTGAACAATCACAGTTCTCTCAAAATTATGCGAACTCTGTCCATGGATTAAATACCTGATTAAGCCGAGCATAAAAGTCAAAAGCGAGAATCTTTGTTAATAATGTGTAAGTGAATTTACAAACACAAGTGAGAGATCACACAAAATCTGTCATCAGGATCTTAATTTCCCTTGTGTTTTACTGTCCCTTATTGCAGGTTTAGTAATATCTCAGCAAGTTCATTTTAAATCGGTCTAAAACTAGTAATTTTTTAATGAGAACGACCCAAACAGGATAAAGGCCTACTTCTGTTTTTGTTTTGATTTTTGGCTCTTCGTCTTTTCTGACTCCTCAAATATGTGGTCACTCAACTCATTTCTTACTCACAACAGGGGATACCGATGGCGGAATCATTTCAATATCTAGTTATTTCCTGCTGCCTCAGCTGCGGTTCCTTGCAAATAGGGTATCATTTCATAAGCCGTATGAAACACTTAAACAGTTACTATTAACTCTTGAAAACTTCCTCGCTCTAATACGCTAAATAAATTATATTTCCTTTCACGGCAAAGGCGGCAATTTTACCATAGTCAGATGTTGGCTACACGTAACGAGAGAAAATAAACAACGCAGCTTGATACTGATCAGAATCTTTTTTATATACATACACCGACAAAAACGGGAGTAAAATTGATTCGTGCATTTACTTTCGCATCGCAAATGAAGTCAACAACAAGCCACCTTATCTGGTTGTTAATATTGAAAAGCAATAATAACTGGTAATGAGTCAAGAGTAATAAGCCCAATGGAATTATGCGCTGACATATGTCTATCAAACTCAGTAAAGATTCGCGGCTTAATAACGCTGATAAAATCCTAAAGTTCGCTGTCGATTTCATTCAGCTGCTGTACACTTGGCCGAGCTGAATACTACTATAGCAGGAAGATAAAATGAAAAACCTTTCGGTGAACCAAGGGGAAGGTTTCTTTTCAGAACCCCACTACATCACTTGGATCAAGGTTGTAGCTTACACCTTTATAATCGTGACCTCCTTGGTGGGCAATGGGCTCATTATGGCAATAGTGTACAAGAATTACAACCATCACATGAAGACACCGAACAACTTCTTCGTTGTGAATACGGCGGTTGCTGATATTTTGATCACTGTATCCAGTTCGACAGAAGCCGTCATCACACTGGCTGTGTCAAACTGGCTGATCCAGGGTACTGTAGGACATGCTTTGTGCAAGCTCAAGTCCGTCGTAATGGTGTTATCTGCCCTAGTTTCCACCCAAAGTTTGGCCACGATGGCGGTGGACCGCTTCATCGTCGTGTTCTTTCCACTGAGGAGAATCATTACACGCCCTGTGGCGTACGGAATAATCGCGATCATCTGGCTCACATCACTTGTTTTCACAGTACCGATGATATTCTCAGCGATCGTTCAAGATATTAAGGGCACTAGCATTTGCTACTTGACGTTTTGGTCGTCAAAATCAGTAGAGAGTTACTTCGTGGCCATATTCGTCTTGTTCACGTGCGTGCCTTTGGTGATCCAAGGCGTGCTGTACACTGCAGTAATGCTTAAGCTATGCCTGCGAGAGACACCGGGGAATGAGCTTCACATTCCGAATCATCACCACTACCACACGGAAAAGATGAACCGGAGAATTATTGGCATGCTCGTGGCAATAGTGGTTCTCTTTGCCGTTTGCTGGTTTCCTATCTGGATAGAAAGCATGATTTGTTTCCAAAACTTCTCCGACAGTTTTTGTCAGTCAACTCACATATACTTCATTGTGTGGTTTTTGGCTTACAGCAAAAGTGCAATCAACCCATGCATTTATTTCATTTTTAACGAGACTTTTCGCCACGGCGCTTCGACACTATGGGCGAAAATCATTCGTGGCCGTTCCCGGGGACGCTGCGGAATTGCCAGAAGACACAATAGGGTAACAGCTTTGCAGAATCGAACCGCAGGAGATAACACTCATACTACAACTTGAGAAGCACGCACGTAAATACCTGAATGTGAATTTAAATCAGCACAGCTACAAAGTCTTCGGTTTGCCACCCACTCAACGAACTAAACAAAATGTTCCTACTGTTAATATTTAAGATTAATATCATATTCACATTTCCAAATTTATTGTTGTTAGAATAAGCCCAATATTAGTAGGTTTAATTGATTTGTAGCAGAATGACAGTTTGCGATATCCATTCGTCTATACCTGTCATTTAAGAACTGTAATAAAATTGTTAATTTGGTGTGTTACGTAACGTTTTATCTCTCTTTCAAATGACTTCCTCTGTTTTCTTCAAAATGTTCGATAAAATTAAGTTAGCACGCTACTTCTGCAAAACCAAATGAGGCTCCAGAAAAGGAAGAACTAATTTGAGTTGTCTTTTCTCAAGTTCAAAACGAAATACTAGCAGAATTTACTGATCGCTACCTGCAAAAGAGGCTTGTAGAGCTATTTTAATCGAAAATTTACTGCTTTGATTGTTTCTTTATATTTGCTAAGGTGCTATTCCATCTTTTGAAACGACCTTGAATGATTAACTTCTCGGCCGAAATTTATCCAAACTGGCTTCCACGGCTTAAGGAGAGAGTTACTAAAATTTTCACCAGCAACATTACTTGGTCCATCTCGTCCACGCTCTGACGAGATAAACTCTGGACTAATCATACGATTCTCTCTCCACAGGACCACACCTGTCTGCACGCCACGTTGAGATTATGTGTTGTAAAAAGCAAATTTTCTTTATCAAAACTGTATAAAAACAACCTATGTTTAGATGAGTTAAAAAAAAGTGCTAAAACTTTTAAAGGGAGTATGACAGAAGACTAACCTTTCAGTGTATAGATTGTTTAACCACATGACCAACTTAGAAATCGAGAGGAAAATTTGGAAAACCGCTCTTGAAAAGAGTTTTCTGATTTTTACTCATAATCTTCATGTAACAAAGCTCTCATCGACCCCGAGAAAAGACTGGTACAGTCTAAAATCTATAAAAAATTGGAAAAGCGACCTCAACAAAGTCCATATTTTTTAAAGTTTATTTAGTTAACTTAAATAATTTCTTGGCTTGTAACATTGATCCCGTACTATTGTCCAGTATCTTCGAGCCAGGTAGACGAGGATCAGGATAGCCTATTCACCATGAGCTTGCGAATAATGAGAGCCGTGTTGCTAGGCAACTTAACGTACACGTATCTTTCTCATTAACAAGTATGCCAGTGTTTCAGTAACAGTCAAAAGCCCTTGCGCATGATGATACTTTTAACTGAAACTTCTCCATGTTTCGTTTACAGTACATACTTAAGCATTTGAAACTTTCTTGTTGTTTTCACGATGGAATCCTGTTCACGTCAGAGCTTTTGGAGTACTTTCGTTACAATTTCCAGACGATAACAAGTCAAATGTAGAGGATAAAATTAATCACTCCCTACTTTGAAAACGAGACTTGGAGGTGAATTGGCTATTCTGATGTAATTATACATCTATACATATAAAGGCTGTTGGTTTGTAGGATGCCAGAGTATTTTCAAAAGAACAAACGGCTCTTCTTGTACCCTCAAGCCTACTATTTTGAAATAAGAAATTCACCACTCATTTGGAGTAACAAAGGAACGTAATGCTCTTCTGCAAGTAACCATTACCGTGGGAATATACAAAACTTGGGTACTTAAAAAGTATTTACAAAATAACTTTCAGGAAAATGCGAGATAATCATGAATAAAATCAGTTGTGCTTCTATCTTATCGTCATTGCTGTGTATTTCCATGAAAAGGAGGTGGGCGCTGTTGCCGTCTGGCAGCGAGTCTTTTTCTCAAATCTCTCACCTCAGCCATGAGTTCCAGTTCACGTTTCTCAAAAGTTGCTCGCTGACGTTCAAGGGAAGGTTCTGTAACAGCATTAAAACAAGTCTAATTAAAATGTGATCGGATCAAGTTTGAACCTCGAGTTTAAAGATACATTTTAAAAAATTAATGATGCTTCAGAAGTAAACATTCTTAATTCACTGTACTGTTCAGACCACATGCCACGCAACAGACGAATTGTTTACTTCATGACCTCATTACTCAAGAAAATATTTTACTGTAACTGAAGAGCCACGTATTGTTTTTTTTCACATTTGCAAAGACTTCTTTTGGTCCAATTAAAAGGTTCTTTGAATGCTAAAAGTTTTACCTCGAGAAGTGATAGGTGTTCCGCTGGATTCTGACTCTGTCGTGGTGCTGCTCTCTGTGTTATTGGGCAGCATGGTACTTAACGGTTTTCTAGGGTGATCCGGGATTTGACGAATTTCCCTAAGCCGAGCTACGTTAAACAGAGTAAAAGAAGAAACAAATCACCCACTAATGTTTCAGCCTCCAGCATTAAAACAGAATTTCTTATTCAAAAGAAAAATGCACTCACAAAATGACTCCGAGTCGTCGGTAGTCGTAGTCTGATCTCGTGTCAGAGCACTCAGAAGATTCAAACGTCTTCTGTCCTCCTCGGCTGCCAAAGCTTTCTGTTGTCTCACTTCCGACTGTTTCACAGCCACAACGTCATTCTATAAAGATATGCAAAAAGGTAAAGAAAACCAAAATCAGGTTGGAACGTTTTCATCATATCCAACTTATTCTAGAGGCGGATGCAAAACAATGTATCCAGTAAGTATAATACCACTCCAAAATAAAAAAAATTAAGCGAAAATTTGTACCTCTTTATTCCTCAACTCATGTACAAGCGACTGAACTTCAGTCTCTCTTTCCTTATTCTCCAAAACATGCTGGGCAATCTAAAACAGTTATAGAAACAAACATTACTGCGATGATCATTCTCATCTCCACTATGAGTTTAAGTACCAACCCAGGTAGGGCAAGTTTTTGCATGAACAACTTGAAGAAATATTAACCTCTTCTTAAAAGGGTTATAAGACGGGTTGACCCTACATCGTTACAGGTTTCATGTAACCGCTTACATAAGTGCGACTTTTAAACAATCAATATTCGTAGTAATTCAGCCGCGGTTTGAAAGTAACCCAGGTTCGTACGAAGTGGTTCTAACCGTTAGATTAGCAGAATTAACCGTCATGTTGACCCCTCCTTCATCAGTTTAATTCTCGTTTTTTATCTCACCTTGACTTCATTCAGCTCTCGGTGAAGATCATCCATTCTAGTCCTCATATCTACTTCTTCTTCCATATTGACGGATGTGTGTTTCTGCTGGGCATTAGCCAATTCTTCTTGGGAAATCTTATGAGAAACCAAGCAGTTGCTTTAGATCTCTGAATCAATAATTGCATCAGTGAGAGCAGAGTGAAATGACCTGACTCTCACCCGGACGATCAGAATAATAGCGGAGCTCGCGTAGCCCCATAATTATACAAAATAGTAGTAACCCATCACGCCGAAAAAATTTGGATGTACGACCTTACGACCGTACAAGGTGCTACTTTTAACATGCGTGGTCAACTGTACCGCGGGCACGCCAACGCCACTGCTTTGTCCAGTAGTCCAGTGGTCAGTGCACTGGGCTCCGAGTCGGACGACTCGGTTTCTAGCCCTGGCTTGGGCAAGGCGTTGTGCCCTTGAGACGTGCGGGAAAAAAAATGCGAGCTTCGCTTTTAGGCTTAGCTAAATCTATATATTAATCAAACTGTACAGGAAGCTACACCAGTCAACTCAGACGGTAGATTTTCTGTTGCATTACCCTTTGTGAATCAATGTCGACCTCCTGAACGGCATCCATTGTCCTCCTAAAAAGTTGCTCTTCCAATTCCTGCTGTTTTCGTTGGATCGCTTGCTCTGATCTCTGCTTAAAGGAATGCTGCAGCTCATCTCGGATCAAATCCTGTTTCATAAACAATAGAATTACGTTTAGTGAGCTTCAAATTTGTTCTCGTTCCAGGCGCCACCGAGCTTTATTCGAGGCTCACAATGGCAGGAGTCCGAGGAACGGTACTCAAAACAGTTTTCACTAGTAGTCCAGTGAAGGATGTACAGTCCAATTTGATGAAAAAGAGCCATTACAGGGCAAAAAATGTACCAACCTGTTGAAGCATTTCTTTTTGCGCTTGAAGCTCCAGTCCTTTTATCTCAGCATCTTCTACAGCGTGCCTGGTTTCTTGTTCTCTAAGCAATGCCTAAAACCGTCATAGGATGAAACAAGTATCGTTTAAACTTAACACAATTACTTACTCTTCTTAGGTAAATAGAATAATTAGTAAACAGACAAAAATAAACTGAGCTCGCAGGCATCTGTAAAGATGTCAGTAGGCCGTGGCCTAACATTTGATGACCTTGAGCGGTATTGCTGGTGTGCCTGTGGTTGTACTGACCTTACGTTCTATCTCGTCATCAAGTCTTTGTAGCTCCGCTTCTTTAAGTGTTTGCTGATGATGCATGAAACGTCTGCGAACAGCGTCCAGCAGTTGCAGCTCTCGTAGATGAATCTCTCGTTTCATTGCCTGCAACCTAGAAAAAACATCTGACAATAAACATTTACGGTTCGATATCTTTTTTCTCATTATTCCTTTCTATGCAGCATGCGGCATAGAGAAGAGTTGCAGTGTTCTGGTCGTTCATATTACAGAAACCTGTATAAGCTGTATAAGCTCTAGCAGAGTGGACCACTCAGCTCGTGTGCAAGACCTAACCTTCTCCTTTTTTTACCAACCTGCTTCTCTGATCGCTCAGTTTCTGTTCTTCCTGACCGATCATTCTTCTTCTTTGATTCTCAGCGTCAATCATGAGTTCTTGTTGTCGATAAAACGCTTCTTCTTCTTGTTTGCGCTGATCTGCTACCTCTTTCATCTCCTGGGCCAGTTGCCTGTCAAAAAAGGCTGCTAATGTCTAAAAGGGCTATGTCACGGTTTGTTCATCTAAAGCCAAAAATTTTCATTTTCGTCACTGATTTGAAATTCGTGACAACCCTCCTCATCCTTAATCATCTTTGCACCTTTTTTAAATCATTTTTTCCTCTTTGGTGTTTGTTTAACCTTGCAGACGATTTCACAACGGTTTTTTAAAACATATCTAGAGAAAACTTTATGTGATGGTAAGAGTGACTTCACCACAATACATACTTATTGAATACGGAATGGTCCGAGAGAATAAGAAAAGGACAAAATATCACTATACTCAAATTTTTCTCGAAGTTTTTTTCCTTTTTTGATCTTTTGATTTCTGGTTTGTCTTCAAGGGTTTCTGTCAATTAGAATTCGTCACTTTACGTCTACTTCTTTACTTCCTCAGTCTCTTTGAAAAACGACTTTGGACCATACCTCTGTCTCAAATACTCCAGTTCTTCCTGGCGTATACGTTCTCTTTCTTGGACCTTTCAGAAAAGAACCACAGATTACGAAACTGTTTCGTGCTAACAATTTGCATTCACTAGTCAAATGACCGTCTACTCAGAAAGAGAGAATTTCTACCAAGGTGGGTGGAGAAGGAAGGAACAGCGAGTGACCATCTCCCGCTCACACGTGATCACCAATGAGTAAGACGCTCCGTCAAATATCATTCAGAAAGTAACACCGTATGATTGATTGAAAAAGGAATGTACCTGATAATCCACAATAAACTTTGGATATTTGTTGAAGATCGGATATTGTCCTTTAGTCAGTGGCATGAATGGTTCCAGCATCCTCTGCGGGTTTGCTTCTGCTGGAGTGCCATCCTGCAGTCGGTAAGCTTCACGTATAACTGCACCAATGTCGACTGCATTCCGGTTATGAAAGAAGTACTGGTCAGAAGAAAAAAGTTTTATATTCGTTACCCTTCTGCACAGGAATACCTATGGAATATTACAATTTTTACTCTGTGAGAATTATTCTTTTGATACTTAAGCAACATACTAGAGTCTCTGTTCACTATGAGTCGATTTTGTTCATGGTAGTGAACATTGTGCCATCAACCAGTGTTTGATGAAGTATTTAAAGTTTTCAAAAAAGAGCGTTTCGTCTTCTTTCTTGCCGTTCCGATGCAGCTTAGGCAACAAAAGCTGAAGTTTGACACTTAGCTTGAGGCGAAAGATTTGTCTAAGTTTAATGACATTGGTTATGAGGCGCCCTTAAACACTTTCAATCCAAAGATCTGGAGGTTCTTTCCCAAATCTGACAAAATACATTTCTCGGTCAGCTGGTCTTCAGAATTTGGTGTTATATCGAGACTAATAATTTTCTTCTCTTGTTACTTGTCTACCTGACAGTGCATTAAACACTTAAGGAGAATTCAGTTTAATTCCAGGCCATCATCGAAGCCAAAAAGTCATGTCTAAAACACTTTCTTTTTAGTATTTTCAAACCATTTCAAACCTCAAAATCCTCTTTCCTTGTGCATTGTAACAGAGCTTTGCGTGAAACGATGACGTAAGCTACAACTACAAAGAGAAGGAACGACGGATGGTTGGAAAAAATGTTATCCCAAGCTCTCAACCACTCGTCCTTGGTTAGAACTTCAGATAAGAGCGTCTGTAGCAATGGCCAGGCGTACATCTGGAAGAGACGAAATCAATCAAAATAGTCAAGACAGTCGACACACAGTCGGTACTGGAAAGCAAAACAAAGCATATGTCACCTGTGATGTGACATTACAGTTGACAAAGTGTTCCATCAATCTTTTATCGTGATGAACAAGTATATTTTCCACCATCCCAAGGATATTCACAGGAGGGTTTGGAAAAAATTCGAACCAATGCTGGCACCAGTTTGCTGAAGAAAAAGGAAGAAAAATGATAAATTAAAAAAAAACATCGGAGAAGCTTGACCACATTTTATGCTGTGACGTAACAAGTTTGCTTCATTGTTAATGACCACGATTGTGCAAAAAGTCGCAAAAATTGGTTCCAAACGGAGATCACAGCCATCTCGGTCCGCAAAAGTTTGTAAATATCAAGTTATAGTTCAAGATCAAGCCCATTTTTTAACACTTAATTACTAAATCATTATCAATCAGTGGTTCGTTTAAATTAAATAAAAAAGAAACCCTACAAAACAATTTTAAAAGCAAATGGATGATCCGGTTGAGAGATTGAGTTTTCCTACACATGGCGTCATTTTCAGGAAACTACCCGTAACAGCTTCAAATTTCATCG